TAGAAAAATGCACTAAAAAATGCTTAAATAATTGTGGTGAACTATTACATATTGTTTGACTTAATTATTTATGGTAGAAAATTTTATAAAGAATCTTTTTTTTAATAATGAGATATTATTGTTGGAGATAATCAATTATTGTAGTAACAAATAATTCCATTGAATCAAATAAATAATGTAGAAGATGCATGTTTGCTTGTTCCACATTATCGTTTTACTTTCAAATGAAGCTTTTTCACTTATTTCCTGACACATTACAGATTTTTTTAACACATTAAATTTTAATCATCCTAATAAATATTTCAAAATTTGGTAATTTTCGTTAAAGTTTTTAAAAAATGAATGAAAATGACGATAACAAAGGATCTGCAACGTATCAGAAAATAAATGTCGAGAAGAAATCGTTGAAACGATGTAAAAACTGGGTTATGTGAAATGCAAATGATAATGATGACAAAATTATGGAAAGTTACCAAGTTTATTGATGCAACTTCGAGTAGAAGGTAAAAATGCTGCAGTATCAGTTTTACATTGGCATGAACATTGTTGTGGTACCAATGATCCAGCAGAATCTTGATCATTAATAACAGATGAATCGGAAATTATTGAACATGTTGCAATAGGTGATGAACATTTAGCAAAATATATGATATCAGGAGTATTTAAATGACGATGAACTGATATCCAATCATTTTCAAGATGATGATCCAATGGATAAGCAAATATTTCAGAATATTTATAATCCAATATATTAATGATTAATAGATCTAGGAATAATGATACAACAATAATCATTGGCTAACTGTAATAATTTAAGTTGTACCAACAATGTTGACCGTTGTAGCATGTACGAAATTCATAAGACAACGAGATAACCTCGCCCAAAAAGTTGCCCGTTAACTTGCCAATGAGAGCTCGTTATTCACACGACAGCACCAGTGACGATAACAGTGGCAGTGATGTTAGGCGACAGCAACAGCGATCTATTGGCGACAACGATGGTAACAATGATAGCGACAGT